TGCAAGAAAGAATGAATATCCACTTAATTAACTAGCAAGCGTGTGGCAAATTGGCAATAAGCATGTGGGGATAGCGATAGCCGACGGGTGCAAGAAAGAAGCCAGCCTAACAATAATACATCCATTATATATACTCACACCGTACGCACAAAATTATTCTTTTCTTTCATTCTCTCTCTTTCATTGGCTTCACACTTCACCCCCTCAACCAAAGACTTCAATTGATTCATCTCCCTGGTAAACATATACCCATTATAAAATTCATGTAGATATTGTGTTTTCATTTGTTTAATTAATTGAAAGTGGATCAAGAAAATTTGACTTGGAATCTTGAATCTTGATATGATGAAGAAATAAGGGTCTTTAGTTTTTTGTTTTTCTTTTTGGGCTTTGTATTCTTTTATGCATAAGAATTCTTGGTTTTTACATAAAATTCTTTTAAATGCTAAATTGAGGTGATAATTTACATTTCTTGAATGAAATTTAAGTCTTTAGAATTGTAATGAATAATGTTGATGACCCTAAGTTTATTTTCGGAAATTTTACTTTAATCCATAAAAGTAAGCCATAATACTTGGTTTATCTGTTACTGAAAAGTCTTATAATCTCTCATCTGAACGCAAGAATGTAAACCGAGCAGATTTAGAATCTGTGTGTAAATTATTGTACAAAATTATTAGATTGTGATTATTTGTCTGTCAATATAGTTATTATATGTTTTTTTTTTTTTTTTCCCTTTTTGAATGCTAATTAATTCTATTAATGATTGTTATATTAGGCAATTAGGATGTCGACTCCATCTAGGAAGCGACTAATGAGAGATTTCAAGAGGTTACAACAGGACCCGCCTGCAGGTATCAGTAGCGCACCCCAAGAAAATAATATTATGCTTTGGAATGCGGTCATATTCGGGTGAGTTTCAGCATTCTGCTTTCACCAAAAGTAAATGTATTATTTGTAATTTATTATGTCTATATGTTTGTTTATTTATTCTCTTCTATGTATGGTAAGTTTTAAGTATCATCTTCTGGGTTCTTTTCTGGTATGGATTGCAGCCCTGATGACACACCTTGGGATGGAGGTGAGTCATTCTTATTCTCAGAATTTGTTCGGAAGTGTTTACTTTTAAAGTTTTTGATAATGAGTTTCGGTACTTTGATTTTTATTATATATGATTTTCAATCATTTCCATTTCACGCTCTTAGTTACTTATGCCAAATGATATCTTTATTAAGAAATGCCTTTTTATTCTTATGTATCTCATGTAAAATTCATTGGGGTACTTAAGCTGTACATACTTGTAGAGCTTATCAGTTTTTCTTTGTAAACAATTGTTGACTGGATGCTTCACTCTTGGAGTGTCTTTTAGCGTATACGACAATGAAAAGGAAAATGCTTCTCAACTCTTTCGTAGATCCAAACTGTTAAATTCCTTCTTTTTTTTTTCCTACCTGTCATGAATGGTGCTTGAATAAGGTTAAATGATGGTTCTGAATTAAGTTTTCGCCAATATTGATAAATTTTTAATTTGGTCGTAGTAGTTTTATGAAGGACGAGACTTCAATAATTACAGGGGTAGACTTGACTTACATAGGTGGACAGGGTTTAAAAGACGTGATTATTTTTGGCTTTACATTTCCAGGCCTTGAGGAAAATGAAACCAAATTCTGCCTCCCAAAACGTTGTAGGAGTATGATTAGCCTATGGATTTACGATCATGCTACATGTACACCATCTTTTACATCATTGTTTACATTGTGCCACGTGACAACACGCCATTGAACAGTTTAAAAAAACAAAAAATCCCCGCCCACTATTTTTTGAAAACAAAGGGGATGTAAACAATGATGTAAGGGAATGAATGTACATTTAGCATTATTGATGGATTTATCAGCCACACAGGGATGGAGTCACAGCCTAGAATCCTACAGGACCCTTTGCATAAGTAATTCAACCTGGTTTTTTCAGAGCACTTTTGACTTTTGAAATCCTCTCTGTAAAAAAATTAGTATATACTAGGGAGAAAAACACAAGGCCCTTTTACTTTGGCCAGGTAGAATCTGATATTATCTAGTTTGGTTTTATATATTTTTATCAAGCTGCAAGTTATTCGCTGCAAAATATAATATATTGTCCCTTAAAAAAAAAAATAATAATAATAACTGAAAAGATCTAATTAATAGAATCACATATTCTTTTCAAGTACTAGTATATGTACTTGTTAACTAGAGATGCTTTCTGCTATAGTTGTTACAACATATTCTTTGAGCATGTCAGGTACGTTCAAGTTAACACTTCAATTCAGTGAAGATTATCCCAACAAGCCACCAACAGTCAGATTTGTCTCTCGGATGTTCCATCCAAACAGTAAGATGAAGATGCTTCCAATTTCTGATTAAAAGTTGAATTTACTCTTAAACATGAATGTAAGACCTTGGCTTCAAATTATTTTTTGGATTTGATCAGTTTATACGGATGGAAGTATATGTCTTGACATCCTTCAGAATCAGTGGAGTCCAATATATGATGTTGCGGCTATACTCACATCTATCCAGGTATATTACAATGGCTGAATTTAGCAGGTGATATCTGCCTCAAGTCTAGTGCACTGCCAAAGAAAATGCCAAGTTAGCAACTTTGGTGTTTGAAAGATTATATGATTTTTTAACAAATAAGAAATGTAGGTTGAAGAAGTTATTGTTTTTGGCAGTGTGACCTTATAAAGTTGCACTATTTCTTTAAGATGTTGTGTATTTTTACATTTGTTGCATTTGAACTTTTGATTTTAGTGATATGACCTTCCAATGTGAATGATATTTTCTTTGATTCTCTTAGCCTTATGGTTTAAAGGAGAACAGTTTGTAGAATTTTCTTTGTAACTGCTAGAAATCTGTCTTAAAGCAAACTTGAGAAGGTAGGATTTGGGAATATGGCAGTTCACAACACCTCTTTCCTAATCATATTAGTTGGATTGAGTTTCATATTGGGTTAATTCTGTTAAATTTTTGAGGTGGACTTTGTGGCGGTGAATCGGATTCAGTTTCATAGTCAAATTCTGGACAACTGTTTTGGAGAAGGTAAAATTTGTTCTATCGGGAACGTGTTGTAATGTAAACGTTTCCTTCTCTGTTTGCTAGCAAATCATAGGGAATGGGGAGCTCAGAGAACGATATCAATATTGAATTAAATACATATCATCTATGATCGGCCATATTGTTTACTGTCTCCACCTATCGAGTATAAATCACTCCACAATATTAGAACCTCATTGGTTTCATTCCTTGATGCTTTTATTTTGATAGTTTATTGCTCATCAGTTAAAGAGTTTTAAGCCAATAAATCATTTTGACATTGATGCAGTCATTATTATGTGATCCGAACCCAGATTCTCCTGCAAATTCTGAAGCTGCTCGGTTGTTCAGTGAGAATAAGCGAGAGTACAATCGAAAAGTACGGGAGATTGTGGAGCAAAGCTGGACTGCAGATTGACTCCCCAGTGCATAGCTACAGTGTGAAATAATTCAGAGTTCCAAAACTTAATTCCGTAAAATTTGTCCCTTAGATAGTGCTTGCGTTAACTTTTGTATCTTTAAAACTCAGTATCGTGTAATGTGAATTAGAATTGCTACATTGATTTGCATTAGAATCACTAGTAAAATAGTTTCAGGGAACAAAGTGTTTCTTTTAGCATGTTATGGTTTCAAATTAGTGGCAATTGTCCAATGCATGCATAATGCATTGCTAATGAAGTTTGTGAAACGATTTGTTTAAGAAGACTTGTATATCAAGCCAGTCAATTACATATCATTTTGTCAATCATGTTATGTATGATAGTTAGGGAAAAACAAGAAGGAATTTGAATGTTTCGAGTCTTGATATTTTCTTCGTCGATGAAACATGACTCGATCAATTTGATATATAAGAGCAGAGATATGTTTTTGTAAAAAAGGAAAGTACCCATAATAGAATAAATATTTGTTTGTATTGTTTTTATTATCCTATTGTTTTACTATTCTTACGCTTTACCCATAATATGATTAGAAATTTAGTTTCTGTTTTCAACTCGACATGACTTAGGTCTAGTTATATTACATTACATGTTGTTTCGCTTACTTCGGTAATATCGCTTATCTTAGGGAGTTCTATGAAAGTTAAAGACCAAACCTTGGGGTTAATGTTCCTACTAGCTTATGTAATAAATGTCAAAAGTGTGATGCACATTAAAATTCAATATTTATTTTATTCCAAGTCATTATATCTTTTGGAAGCAACACGGACTTTCTTCAGATTCTGATGAACCTGCACCGGAAACAAATCTCAGAACACTACCTGTATTGTGCATTTTAATGGAAAAAATGGAAATAGACAAATCGGTCGCATTCCTTAACTTAATTCATGAACACAAGAAAATTACAAAATTCAAAAATCCCAACTAATAAATAAATGAGAGAAATCCTAATGGAAAATGACAAGCCAAACAAGGCTACTAACTTTTACAGCATGCTTCAGTGGTGTTTGACATCTGTTGCACTGATATCCATCTGGGGAACAGCCTACATAAATGAAAGACGCAAAATTTAAGGAATAGTGAAAGAGGAATGATAAAATGATAGAAAAATTGACTTGCAGATGCCGAAGTAATGATTATAAAAGAATTATTTATAGAATCTTACAAGGTTCTCTTTGGAAAAAAAACAGCCTCAATTTTTTTGAATGATTAGGTTCACTTTTAAATTGAAAGATGAATCCCATTTTCCTTTTTTCTTTTTCGTGTATCTCCCTTGAATCCCCCATTTGAGTTAGGAAGAGAAAGAGAACAGGCGGAAGTTCAACCTGGAAGACTAAAAGAAAATAAAGAAGTATATAAGTTGTCATTGTTTTGAAACATCTTTAGAAAAGGGTGTTATTCGAAGTAAAACAGAGTAACAAATGTAGCGTGAGATAAAAGGAATTGATATAATTTACCTTCTCCAGTAGCAGATTTCTTTCCCTGCTTCTTCACCTTATTCTGATATTTATATAGTTCTTGCTTCGTTGGTTTCTTAGGATTGTTTTGGGTACTATCATGAACCCGAACTTCCGAAGCAGATTTTGAGTTTGTCACATCCTTGTACAGTGATTTTTGTAATCTTACTTACAGCTTCATTCTTCTTACTAGTTTCTTTGTTTGATTCTTGTACTTCATGAATTTCATCAGCATCTGTATCCGGTAGCTTCAGCTTCTCAGCATCAGTTATTGAAAAAGTAGAGCTGTGAACATTATCATCAGATAATTGATTTCCTTCTTCAGGCAGATCAGAATCAGTGTTGGAGACTTGCAACTGCTCAAGATTCTCTGCTATCTTATAGCTCGCAAAACAGCTCTTTCACGGATTCTTCAAGTTCAGAAAGGTCATACGGAGATACGTAGGATTTAAGCTTAGGATATTGTTTTAAAACACGGAAGGAGAAGGTCAGCACTCCTAAATCAATAATCGAAGTTCAAATCAATGAGATCAAACTTATGTAAACAAATCTAAGAGCATAAATGCAATTCAGAAAGTCCAGAAAAAACAAATAGTGCTTGGCTGCCTTTGATAATTCACTTGACATTTTTTTCTAGATATAGAGCCTATTTTTCGATTTGTTTCCCAGACATTGTTCTGTTGTTTAATGATTTTCCGAGAACCGAAAAACAGCATTAAGTAGATATATTGTTCAAACGTGGCTAATTTCAAAGAAATTTCCCCATAACGATTATGTATCTAATCTAATTAAATTTGTTATGTTATCTCACAATAGGCTAATTTTTTGTTTGTGGTAGTTCAGAGTGATTATATCTCCAGGTTCTTAACATGGAAAAACTATTCCTTGAATATTTTTTTTTATTTGATAACCGTAGATGTCCGGGTCAGCTTGCGCGCACATAGACTAATCTCACGGAGCCCTAAAGTTTACGGTCGGGTACTCACATCAGTGGTCCTGAGGAGACTCGAACGGGTGACCATTAAGGAGCAAACCAGAAACCTGATCAATTGAGCAATCCAAAGATATTTCATTCAATTCTAATTGAAATTCAGTGCTTAAAGTGTAATATCAAAAGAAGAAGGGATAGCCTATCCACAGCATTAACAATCCATTTCTTCAATTGAGAATCACATATTTAATGACAGTATATAAAGCAAAAATCGCTCAAAAATCTGATAATTCATTACTCTCATCAATTATTCTATAGCTGAATCACACATTAACAATCCGTTTCTTCATTACAGACACACATAATTGATCACAATATATAAAGAAAAAATCACCCAAAAAAATGTGATAATTCTTTACTCTCATTAATTATTCTATAGTTGAATCCCACGTTAATAGCCATATGAAAACCCCAAATTACTTTAAACAGAGATTTGCAAGAGTGATTTGAAGTAAAGAAAATTAAATCCTGAACACTATATTTCAAACTCGTACAAGAATATTAACATTGAGCAATTCACACGCACATGCATGAATAGAGAAAGAGAGAGATCTCTTGGAGACAGAGGAGTTTGCAAAATCATCGACTATTGGCTTCTCTTCTTTAGATTTCACAGAAGATCGAAGCAGATACTTAAGGAGTTTTGAAGATGATCTGTCAGCAATTGTAAAATTTCACCCAAAAAAGAAAGAAAGAAAAAAGAATATCACATACTATAGAATTATGAAAGTCAGCAAGGAGATAAAAAAGAATTAATGCCAACTCAAGTTTAGTGGCAACAGACCTGAGTCGTCACAAATCCAGTTGGATGCATAGCTGGACTTCAGATTCAAGATGATGAAGACTTCAGAAGAATTGCTGAGGAATATGCTACTGCATGGTTGGAGTTTGTTTTTAAATTCCGTTATCTTGTACAATTTTCATATACCAACTTGTATAGAATTAGTTAGAGCAAATTCTTTCTTCTTTATAAATAGCAAAGCCATTGTACAGAAAAGATATAAGGGATGAATGAATACCAATTAAAATTCTCCTCCAAAACACTCTCTTCATATTAAATTTTCTGATATGGTATCAGAACCAACAATGGCTGATTTAAATGATTCAGACGAATCCAATACCACTCAAGCCAGAAACACAAATTCCGATCCCTCACACCCAAATAGTCCCTTCTGATAAATCACTCACTAAACTGTTGAATAACTTACTGTGTTAGGGAGATAAAGCATACTTTTATTCAATAAACGGTGGCTTTATATGAGCCTTTTTACAAAGAAAAACAAACTCCACGTTGAACACTCTTAAAAATATGGGAAGAGGTCTAGACCAATTCAAATACTAATCAGCACTAACAACTCACCCCAGCAATTAGGGGATTATTAACAAAAAGTCAAATATAAAGCAGTAAATACAATTAAACCTTAATGCTTCATCATATCCTCCCTTAAACTGAATTGCAAAAATGCAATCAGTTTACTCTAACTTCGAACACATACCAAGCTTATCACGCAGCCTCAAGAACACATCCAATTTGAGAGGCTTTCTCATAATATCAGAAAGCCGTTCTTGTGTGATGCAGTGCACCAGTTCAACAGTTCCCTCCTTTGTCAAGACACGCAAAAAATGAAATCTCACATCTATATGTTTGCTCCTCCCATGCATGACTGGATTTTTTGAAAGTTTTATGGCCGAACTGTTATCACAATAAATTGTTGTACACTTACTTTGAGTATGTCCCAGCTTCTCGAGAACTCTCCTCGACCAAATTCCTTGGCATGCACAATATGCTGCTGCAATGAATTCGGCCTCTGTAGTGGACAGGGTCACAGCTGGTTGCTTCTTCGAAGACCATGCAACTGCTCCAGTTCCAAGCATGAAAGTGCATCCAGAAGTGCTTTTCCTATCATCAATGTCTCCTGCATAATCGCTATCAGCAAATCCCACCAGTTATTCTCCACCACTTTTATAAGCAATCCCCAGCTCAGCCGTTCCCTTCAGATATCTTAGGACTCTTTTGGCAGCTTCCAAATGTATTTCAGTGGGCCTCTCCATATATCTACTTATCAAACAAATAGAATACATCAAGTCTGTCCTTGTAGCAGTTAGATACATGACTACATGAGGCTGCCTATCATTTGCTTGAACATTGTTGTATCTACAACAGCTCCTCCTCCATTCTTTGACAATCTGAACCCTAGAACGATTGGATTCTTCACCGAGTTGCTATTCAGCATTCCAAACCTCTCCAACACTTCATGTGCATACTTCTTCTGATTGATAAATATTCCATGCTGATTCTATATGACTTCTACACCAAGGAAATACTTCATTTTGCCAAGATCAGTCATGGCAAATTCCTTCTTCATTGACTCCTTAAATCTCACAAATATATCCTCATTGTTTCCAGTAAAAATCAAATCATCTACGTAAAGACTCACAATGAGAATCTTACCTCCATCTTCAGTCTTCACAAACAATGTGCGCTCACAGTAGCATTTCTCAAAGCCCTCTTTAATGAAGTGCCCTTCAATTC